CGCGCGGTACGTGTTTTTGATCGATACAAATATTATATTTTACATTATTATAATTCATAATATACATTATAAATGTGGGTATAAAAAGCGTATTATTGACTTGAGTAACTATATAGATATCTGGCTGTTCATTTAGTTTCCATGGTATAACTATAATTATTAATTTGTATTTTGTTTAAATAAATATTCGAATAATTATTGATATGTGTAGAAAATACAAGACTTAGATTTTTTTGTACTACTCATTTATTCTCGTTTATTTTTCATAGACAAAACTGTATATTTAACCGTATATATTAAATACTATATTATAATTTATAATCTATCGTATATTTTCATTAATGCTGCTATTGCAACTCTATACTATTATGTTGAGTAACTGTAACCGTGCGAATCTCGGACAATATCCGATGTTCTTGTTTTTGATGGCTATCCTATCACTGCAGTTAATTTACACAAGCACCGGAAGTCAGGACAGACAAGGCATAGCTGTTATGTTAAATCTGGAGAAGGTCGTCTCGGGGACGACTTGGATAAATTCTGAATGGCTTGAAGTGCTGTATCGGACGACGGTCTACGACGTTCCCGAAGAAGTCCAAATATATTTCAATYTGATTTTAGATTGGTCTAAAAAAATGTTTCCTTTAGTCATCAARAGCTTGATGATCGCCATCGCAAGGGCCCTAGAAGGCAAAGTCATATATGCCAAACTGTTGCCGCATATCACAGGGCTATATTGCGATGGCCGTGCAACATTTTCAACATTAAAATTTGTTCACGACATTGAAATGATCACCAAGTGAGTGTTTTTTTTTTTCATAATCGGTTTTTAAGTTAGTTTTTAGAAAACTTTAAATATTTACTCAGTACTATAAGTGCTTGCAASAGATCGAGTGGTCTGCACATCATTATAGGTTACTCTGAAGACAGGACGCCGTATATATATATATATATACTTTATACATACTTTTTTTAAAATATCTTGTAATTTAATTATTGCTATAGTCTCCTATTTCTCTCTTAGTTCTTACACATGTCCACGAATAGCTATATAGCCTATRCCGTAAGATTTAAGGACTTCGTATGTTGGTTTATAACTATATACTTACACTGAGTCCGTACAAATACAGCGATAAAAAAAAAAAATTATGAAATAGATGAAATATGTGCTAAAAATTACATCTCAACAAAAATTAGAGATTATATTAGGTAGGAAAGATAGGTTATATACTTATATGACTTTACGGATTATCATAATACCTAATTATATTATCCATATCGCTGTGTATTTATTCGTAAACAAAAGAACTGTTGTTCTTATTCTGACTATAATTGCAAAATAATAATWATTTGTGTTATTTTAATACCCACAGGCAGATATTGAAGGACACCGGCCGAGTTTGGAGCAATCCGGCAGGAAGCAGACTTCATCGTTCCACCGTGGACGTGGCACCTGTGGTGCGGCCAGCAGACAAACAGGCGTCAAAGTCGACCAGTTATGACGATAATAACGTCGTTCTATTTGTCTACAGCGATACCCGTCCGCATTTATTGATAATAMCATGGCGACCCGAGTGGCCTTTCCAGACACCAGCGATTGGCACCCCACGCAGTTTAATTATYTTGCGACATTCACAGCAGCTGGCACGGTTGGATGAGATAATGTTGCCGCTCGTAATAGCTACTGAAAAATCTCTAAAAAAGCAGTGGACGATGACGGTCAGTAGTGTGTTTTGGATGCTTCTATATAACCCTCAAAACCGGAAAATCTGGACACCCCACCCAGCCTATGGTTCGAGC